TACCCTTTTTATCACCTGAAAATTTGATATCCCACTTATTAGGGGGAATGGACTTGACGTTGGTTACTGTGGTCGCGGGTGTTGGTGACGGTGCCCTAGGACTGGAAGTTCTGGTTGGTGCAAAATTGCTCTGCTGCAACAGGCTCAGAGAGGGTGGGACATTTTGGAGTCTTTGATGCTCATCCGCTTTGAGGTGAAGGGCATCCATAAGGGCTAAAGCCTTGGCCAAGAAATCCGGACGACAATCAGATTCCTCATCGAGGTGATCAATGCGGTTCAACAGGTGGGATAGCTTGGACTGATATTTTAAATAACTATTGCTGACTCTATTATCATTAAAATCTGCAATGAGGGGCTCTAATTCTGTAATTTTATCCGTGATTGCTTGTACGTCTTCTTCGACAGTGTACGGATATTTAGGTAACTTAATACTATCTCCGCTTTTCTCGAGCCTAATCGCCATCGTTAAAGATTGACGCATCTGTTCAACTGTCCCAGTTGCTATACCTCGTATTCTCAATTCATATGAAAGTTCCTCTTGGTTTAAACGATTTACTTGCATCTTATGTGCCATTGTGAAAAAAAAATTCAAGGAAATGCCAATAAAAAATCAATAAAAAAAATATGAAACGATTTTTTTTTCCCAAGTGTCGTCCTCTACTAGCTCTATAGTACTCAATACTCTAAATAGCTCTATACTTGCCGACACTTTGAGGCATTACTCTAGGTCTCGACCTTGAAATTCACGAGTTCGAAATGACGAGTTATCTATACAATGTTGCTCAATTTGTACTACCTAATATTCCCAAATGCTCGAAAATGTCCTGAAATATCCTAAAAAGATGAATACTCCATATAGCTCTATTCTGCTCTATTAGCTCTATTTGGCTCTATCTGCTCTATCGAGCCCCACGTTGGGCGCCAAAAATGTGACCTCAAACTTGCCAGCAGTCACTTGTCCACATCTGTAAGATAACAGGTGGGCACTTGCAGCTACACTACAGTGGAGATGGGGTGGTTCGGATTCGAGAATTCAAAAAAAAATTAAGATGAAATAGTTGAGCGCCAGGTAAATTATTACCCCACCACAAATACCCTTAGTTATTATCACCCTTCAAATTTACCGAATAAGAGTGAAAAAAAATATATAAAACACCGATTTCAACATAGACAAATTTTTATTCACTAGTTTATCAATTCAAACCACAAAATAGTACTATATGGAGTATTGCAATAAATACCCTAAATCAACCCCTGGGAAGGCAAGTAAATAGTTGACCTGCCTAAATGTCAAAACAAACAAAGAATTTTTCACATAGCATAAAAGGAAAATAATTAGTAGCACACAAAAAAAATATACTGCAAATTGTGCTATAAATTGGTCGCGACGCGTGAGCTCAGGCGTAGGCGTTCCCCTAGTACAATGAGATTGCGCTAAGTCGGGAATCCGCTTAGCGACTCCACCCTAGTAGGCTTTTACAAGTCATAAACTAATTATAGTTAACTCGGTAAGCAAGGATATCTAGCATAGAATAACAGTAGTACAATAGCAATGGCATAAAATAGCAATAGCGTAAAATAGCAATAGCGTAAAATAGCAATAGCGTAAAATAGCAATAGCGTAAAATAGCACTAGCGTAAAATAGCAAATGAATAGTAGGTAGCAATAAAGAGCAATAAAAAAATAGCAAGCAAATTACAAGTTGACAGGTAGTGCAAGCAAACTGTAAATACTAAGAAGCAACTGATAAAGTAGCAAATATAGTTGAATCGCAAATTAGTGACAACCATAAAAAAAAATCGCAGGTTAGTTATCTACAAAAAAAATGCGGATTTGGTTATTCACAAAAAAAAAATGCAGGTTGGTTAATCACAAAAAAAAATTGCCAATCAATAACAATTCAGGTGAACGGAATAGCTCAAAGAGAATGAACACATAATAGTATCGTTAGCACTTCAAGAGAAGTATGAGCCATTTATATATCAATAATTAATAACCAAAACCAAACATTTAAACATAAATAGGTATAGATATATCGGTAAGCCGAGCAAAAAAAAATAGCATAAATCAATTGGGCAAACTTGGTATACAGGGACACCCTCTGTATTTATTTTAGTCCTTCATCCCTGACGCATTGACGTAAGCACCCATCCAGTGGTGAAGCTCGCCAACTTGGGTTGATAGACTAGTCCAGACCTCCCTTGGTGCACCCGGTATAGTCTATGTGGTAGATCAAAAGTTATGACTAGGTCAAAGTTCCAAATGCCAGGTAAGATCGACCCAGTAGTGGCGATACTGATAACCCTAGAGGGGAACAAAAATACAAAAATAGAAACTTGTCCTTCCAAGTTCAAACCCAAATGCAAAAAAAAAGAATTGAAAAATAATCCTTAACCAGTTTCTGGCAAATGAGACAATGTGGTTGAACTATCCTAATGGAAAATATATTAAGAACAAAATAAACAACTAGAAAAATCCATAAGAGTTCAATCGAATTCAAATAATAACATCAAGCTGACAGCTGTCAACTGTCGCATGAAGGAACGACGTGTGATTCATGAAGCATGTCACATTTAGGTCATATGACAGACTTGACAGCCGACTGTCAACGATTATTAGTTGTCACAAAAAAAATTATACAAGAAATTTACTGAAAATATTATACAAAATACTGCTTACCCTGGCCAAGAGGTTATCGTCCAAATATCTTATTCCAATCCAAGTTCGAATATTTGGTTGAGTGATTTAAGAGTGACTAAGGGCCTTCGTACTCTCTGTAGACAAGAGCAGAAAAATAGAAAACGATGAATCTTCTCTTTTATGAATAAGTGAGGTGCAGGTCGACTCCAAAAATTATAATGAAGATTTATTGACATACCTGGTAGATCAAAAATGCACAGTCAAATGCAACAGCACTCGGCGTGGTGTCAGAACAAATCCTCAAACTGAGACAAAATTTCAGGAATGGCACAAATACGATGCTCCAAAACTACCAGCAATCCCCAAAATTATAAAGATGGACACCAGAATAAAACCCAATGAAGGATGATTTCGAGAAATCACGATTTTCTGGATGCCCGTCACTGACCACTTATCACTCTCCGAGTACCATTTGCAGACTGACACTCGAGCGAACCGAAGAGTCCCGAAGACGAACGACTAACTCCATCCGATTGATCCATAACTACTTTTAACGCCGACTCCTAGGTGGCGCTGCTTACCCACTATAAATTTCACCATAATTGAAGACTTACTGACGACATGTTATGCTACGTAATAAAGCAAAGTAAACACCTTTATTTGAAAACAACATTCATGCAGCCCCATACCCTATGAACTTGTCACTCAACCCTTCGATGAACAACCCATACCAACAATGACAGCGATATTTTACAAGTTGGCAGCACTGAACAGTTGGTAGCATTGGAATCGCCGATCGTGTCTATTCGGTCCGGACTGAAGTAGGATATTATCCACAGCTACCAAGTACTATACCTAGAATAACCTCAAGAATCTAAACATGAATATTATCAACAACAACCAACAAAATATACCAACACATCATATCCAATGATTGAAGGTGGGTGAATATAATGAAAAATCTATTCTCAAACTGAAATACCTATATACAATACGTCTTAGACGTGAAGTACCCGAAAGTAAACAAATGAACACAATAACAATTATTGTTTTCATTTCTATCGCAGGAGTGGACGAATACAGGTCAAAGCAAACGAAGAAACACTTTCAGCGGGACACTCGGACAGGCAAACGAATGCAAATGATACACAAAGCATACTGGATAGGTAAGTACACGAATATAGATGTTTATCGCGCGATAAATGGTACGTTCGAGTATATTAGTTGTTATTTAATTATTTTAGATCACCCACACAAATAAGTATGGTTTGCCCGCTAAATGGAATGAACCTTCAGGAAACTATACCTCAGAGTAGGTACAAATAACCTGCGTTACCTGCTGAAAGTAGCCTTGTTGGGAAATTAATATCCTGGGTGTCCCATTCGTGGTATGTAATGCTTTAAGGTCAAAACTGACCGCAACATCCATTCTCTCAGTATCTCTTGTTGGTTTGCTAAAAACTTCAACCGAATCGTTCAAGCCGTTTATTAGTTGACGAACCGAGAGCAGCGCCACCTGTCGCGTTCATTCTTATTTTCAATCATCCAGGAAAGTATCGAAATACCCAGATAACCTGTTCAGCCTTTTAGAAGTTATGTGAAAACGATAAGTACGGAACAAAAAGTCTAAGTACCAGTTGTCCTATCACCCGTTTTCCCGTAGAAATATAGTATTAATTATACAAGGGGAAAAAATAGTAGATTTTAGCTCGAGTTAGTATGTCTCCCGACGCGTAGCGCCAGAAGACAAAGAACCGTGAGCTAAAATCTAATATTTTTCCCGTGTATAATAGGTACACTATTTTTTTTTTTTTTGTAACACGGAAAATGAAGTATCATTATTGAGAAGATATCACATTACATTGAAATCAGAAAATTATCGACGTCCAATTTGTAGTTTTTGACAAGAATCGCACACAACTTTATCATTCTCTCAGTCTAATTCTGTGATTATGATCTTTGAAAATTGTGAACTCAGTGTTATTTAGAAATTTACGTAACCGCGAAGTGGATTGGAATATAAAAGGACTTGTAGTTCTTTCTCGGAGACTACAGTGTTATTGGCTTATTTTTCGGAACTAGCACAACAGTCTGAACTTTGCAAGTACAGTATGAACAATTTTCATAGTACTTACACTTTTTATTACATAATATATCTGTTTTGAGTAGGGAAACAATCTACCTGATCTATTCACCGTTTATTTTGTAATTATTTTCACAATTTTTCAAACAATATATAATCTTGAACGAATAGCAACATATTATTGTAGAATGTTGAGTTAGTTTAATTGGTATACCAATATATCGATCAATCATGTCGTTCTAAAAACTCTCGCTGATATAGTATCGCATTTCCATCAGCATAATCCACGGTAAGTAACCGTGAACATACCAATTTCGCGTTTCAATGGTGAACTGAACGTATCGATTCATGTATCGGATTGAATAGTTGCTGTATCATGATTTCAATAAGGCCTAAATACTGCTACAATGCAATGAATAGGTAGTCAATTTTGTCAGTGTCGATATCCCCAAAGTTTTCAAATTGAAAACAATGATGGTTAATTAATTTTTACTAAAGAATGAGCCACCTTAATTTAAATAAGTACTGAAAGTCTGATCATTATCGTTGCATTGCAAAAGGGTCTCCTGGAGGCGGATTCACTTCGGGGAAATAGAGCCCAACAGTAGAAGGGCCGACCCTTCGTTGGACTTGTGATCCTTCAACTCGGCAGCTTTCAGTCGAGAGTCTTGTCGCGAAACAGAGATGGCCTCTTGACTCGGGCCTGCAGCAATTAGAACTGGGCCCAGAATCACGTGTGCAACTGAAAAAAGAAAGAGATTATTCAGATTATTTCATAAAAAAAAAGTATTTTAGGGTTCACTCTCATGAAGATTATTATATTCCAATCAATAAAATCAATTTATTTCCCTGAATTTATGTATTGAAAAATCATCAATTGATTATTTTTTCAGACAACATTTCAGAAAATATTGATTTTATACAGGGTGTCCCGAAATCACATGGAAAGATTTCTAGGAACAGAAATAGTAAAGAAGTTCATAAAAACTTGCTCAGCAATGGCCCTCTTGGGAGTTATAGCCTTCTGATAGAGGGCTCAAGATGATTGTTTTTTGTGAATATTTGTCGTATATATTACTTTTCATGCTTGATTTGAAAATATTGAGAATTTTTCGGAATTTTGATCAGGGGCGTCGGTAATAGCTTAGGTTAGGTTCCATGTGAGTGGGGTGAATCAGGGCCTACTGTATCTCACCGGGCCGTAGTCTATCCCCTCTCTCTCGACGCTGACGTCACACTAGTAGGTTGAGATTTTACATCAGTCCGTAATGATGCGTTGGTAATTGATAGGCTATAGCTCATTTACTATAAATTTTAGAAGCACACTCAATCGAGACGAAATGATCCCCAACAAATTCCTCAACTTTTGGTGAAAAAATGAATCCAATAGGATGAATCAATACCGAGTTATGGCGTTGTAACGAAATTCCATTTTATTGAAAATCAGGACGTTGTACTACAGAATACTATTTTTTGCAAATTTGGAATTGGAATAAGATGAAACTAACTCAATATATCAAACTACGATAATGAATCAATTGAATAGTGAAAAAATTGTAGAGTTACCTACAATGAGTCCGAAAGAAATTGAATATAAAGAGCGCGTAAAAAATGGGCCGTTATACCTACATACCCAAATTTCGCTGTATTACGATTTCGCGGTATAATTCCTTGGACTGGTAAAGGGCGATATACTTTTTATTTTATTTCATTTCTAAATGGCGATGGCGTATGGTTCAGACCAACTAATATTGGTGTCTGAAAAATTCGAAACAATATTTCTACAATGTAAGTCACAACATAAAGTTTTGGAGAATTTAGCAGAAATTAAAATCAATTTCCTTCTCAATTATTCCGAGAATCGATGTTGCAGTTGTGGGTCTTTTGATTTAATCAGCAGAACATTCTCTGAAACCATTTCAAATATTCCGTTGAACAATTATTGCGAAATAAAGAAAATTAAAAAAGAAAAATCACTAAACTTTCAAGATGGGATATAGTTCAGATTTCAATATTTAGTTTGTGATTAAGATGATGTATATATATTTTTTGTTATGAGTGTATTTCATTTCGTGATATCTATAAATTTTTTTCATTTTGTTATGTTGATCATTTATACAGTTTATTTTGTTTGGTTTTGTGTGTGTATAAGGATTCAACGTTTTTTTTGCTTATTTATTCATCTATTGTTGTTCTGGGTATTTTGTTATTCAATTCGTTATATTCATTTTTATATCTCTCATTGTTGAGATACATATTTTTTCAATTATTTTTGTTAGGTTGTGTTCATATGAACTCCACATATTTTGTTCTTTTTAATTTTGATAGTTTCCAAATATATTCAAATCAAATTTTTTTCATGAATTTAACGTTATCATTCAAATATATACTCTTCAGCAGAAAATAATTGATCCCGAATAGGCGTTTTTGTGTAATAACACACTCGAGTGATAGGATTTCGAACGTCATCAAAGTGCGTCCTGATCATCTTTAGAGATAAACGCTGCTAAAACCCTTCGAGATAAAGTGGATGTGTATTATACCGATTTGTAGGCAATCAAATTTCCTACAAAAAAGTCAGTGACAGCATATATCCACAGTTGATAGGATTAGCATGGGAGGCGTCCGAACTTTTTGAACTATTCTGTAATGAACACCTGAATCATCGTTCTACTTGAATTGAAATATCGGTTTGTTGTTGGCCCTTGGGAATTTCAAAAAAAACTCAGTCAATCTAGATACTATGCGAAATCTTTTCATGGTTGAATCATCTCTGTAAATTGAATATTGGAATTTTGGTAGCTGTTTGAAAAAGGACAATTCTGAATGGCGTCAATTAATTTTGATATGCCATATTTCTGAAATTAATGATCGTAAATCAGTGAAATTTGATTCATCTTCTGGAAAATTCATTTCTGTACATATTTGACCTCTTGATATTTTTCGCTAACTGTGACCGTTTTCCCGAGGTAAATCAATTAAACGGGAGAGACAATTTCCACTGCCTTGATTTTGTCCCTACTAGTGTGACGTCACGAAAGCGATGCTCCGGCCCGGTAAGATAGAGTAGGCCCTGGGTGAATACCACTCCTTTACAGCGACCCCAGATGGGTATTTTGTGGCTCACCCATAGAGGTTACAGTTCACCACATAATCTGACGAAGTCAATAGATGAATTAGAGATTCGTCTGAAACCGATAGGCTTCAAATTGTAATGGTCAAATATGTAGAACCTCAATCTCTTTAAGCAAGAGCATGAACATGATATGTGTTCAGCCGTTTCGTCTTCCACACAGCAGAACCGACAGTCCGTTTGTTGGTTCAGACTCATCCTTCCCCGGTGGAATCTTAGACGACAGTGTCCCGTAAGCAGATCTGTTAGAATTCGCAGATTAGGTGCTGCTACATCCTAGGATCTGCCTGGCTAAGTTTTTCGATGATTTAGGCAGAAACGCCTCCGAATAGGTTAATCCTGGGGATTCAGACCAGTACTTTTTCTATGCAATTTCCGGAAGTTTATCCAGGAAATATGGAAATATCATACTTTCCATGATGATTTGTTCAGTTTAGATAGCACCCACCAGTCTTGAGATGAATATATTTTGAAAGTCTGCTGCGTAATAAAGATGGTATCTACTTTCTATTTGATTTCGGGACACCCTGTATAAATTTGTAGTAGAAATCCATGGTATCTCAAAGTTGAGTAAATGGGTGAAGTAGTATCAGAACTCCCAGTCATATCCACAATTATTTGATGAATATCTTGGTGATTTGAAGACATGTTTCGAACAAATGGAGATTCATCATCAGCTCTGATATTTGGAATCAGTTTTGCAACAAAAGAATGAGTGACAGAGTAATCACTATAACATGGGTGGAAATACCCATGAGGAGAGTAAATAAATTATCTATTTTTGACCTACTAAAATATTTGCTGACTGCGGAAATATCAAGAAATTGAATGAAATGGGCTTGAACCTCAAAGTACAAGTATTCTATCTATTTGGTTTCAATGGGAGTTTCACCATGCTTACACGCTACGAAGTAACCAAGACCAAAAATTGTAGTCTTGTAAGTTTGCTTTCTCAAGCTTTCCTTCCCAATACTTGTGGACCCAAACATAGTCACGAATCTTCATTTCATATATAATCCAATTCACGATGTGAATTCGTAAGGTTTCTCTATAATTCTATGTATTTTTTGAATGCTGGTCGTGCCACCTTCTATTTATATTGATTTCATAGTTACCTACATATTACTTATTAATAGGTCATAGTCGAAGCAAATGTCATTGAATAGAGTATTATGAGATCGATTCCAGGATCCTCAGAAGCAGCACCATTGGCGGAGATGATATTGGAAAATTCTAAGAAAAATATCTTTCATTCGGTGGTCTTCTTGAATGGAGAAACGAAATGGTTGTGAAAAAATTCTGCCCTAGCATTACAAGCAACTATACATTCCTCGATTGGTAACCATCTAAAGAGAACATCGCGATGTTGATATGTAGTACCTCCTGGATTAACGTACAGACAAAGAAATGCAGTTTGAGCTCTCTGAAGATTTGAATATCTCAAAAACGAATAGACAGAAGATAAAATCGCAATTTTCACAGGAGATATATCAGAAGAAGCCGGTCACAGAATCCAAACTAATTCGAATGTCGGCATCAGGAACAGAGCTAATTGGCAGGAAACAATTTCTGCGTAGGTCACCTTACTCGATATACCCATCATTTGTGAACTGAACCACAGCCACGAATCTTCATTTCATTCAACCTAATATACGAGGTGGATTTGTATAATTAATAATAATAAGAATAATTGTGTTTGTGAATTCGATCCACCTTCTATTTTTATCGATTCCAGAGGTAGTAACCTACTCATTATTGAGAGATCATAGTTGAAGCAAATTCCTCCGAAGAAACTATGAGTGATCGATTTTGAGATCCTTAGAAGTATTGCCATTGGCACAATTTATCGCAAGGTAGCACAAATACTATAACAATTGAATGATCTGCTGAAAACTTGAGAACGGTTGAAGATTGAGAAATTGTACAAAAAAATATTTTTCCATAGCATTCCTAGCAGCTATTTCCACTTCGTTTGATCACCATGTGAAGGTATATCGAAGACTGGAACCTTTGGCACGATAATACACTACACTGTTTTACCACTAACCAAACCGATTTTTTAACGCCTCGACACGTGTTTCGCTAACTATGTTAGATTAAAACTGATCTTCTCCTGAAGATGCTAACACGTGTCGAGGCGTTAAAAAATCGGTTTGGTTAGTGGTAAAACAGTGTAGTGTATACCAGGTGAAGGAATAAATTGCGATGTTGATATGTCCTCGAGTAACCTATAGACAGAAATGAAGAATTTGTAGTTTTCATCAAAAAATAGACAGAAGAGAAAACCGCAATTTTCACAGGAGATCCATCAAAAGCACCCGGTCACAGAATCCAAACTAATTCGAATGCCGGCATCAGGAAGGGAACATCATTCGATTAGGAACAGGGTGAATTGGCAGCAACAATCTCTGCGAAGGTCGCCGTACTCGATAAAGGAAAACTGCTCTTGGTTAAATGGTGATGAACATTGGGAGGAGGATGTGCAGAGGCGCCTGCGAACCCATTCGCGAGTGCGGTTAATTAATTACCAAGGGGGATGCGAGGACGACAAGAAAAACTGAATGGCCAATAAGTTTTCTCCTCTGCGCTCCCCTTCTGAATATTCCGAC